TTTTTCCTCTTCACTAAACCGGTAGTGGGTGTGGCCAGCGCATGACACATCTGGTCTGCGAGCGGCGAATTTGATAACCCTGATCTAGATAGCTTACTATTCTAGATTTGTCTGGAAGTTGAGTCACGGCAACGGGATTTCTTTTCTTGTTGGTACTCAACAAGATATACATGTAAACAATAATTGGCCAGTTCATGGGAATGTATTTCTACCAAATCATCAGTGTCACCACTGAATGACAAGGTATAATTATTTGCAGAATTGGGTCTAACATTTAAGGGGTTTTTTTCCACTCTGGAAAAATCTGTCCTAATATTAAACAGTGTGAATGGAAAAATGTGGGCGTGAGGTGGGGTGGGATGAGAATTTGAAAGTCGGGTTCTGAAATTTTTACCCTAGCAATGTTTTTGACTATGACTAATTAATTAGTTGGGTCACAATCATTCAGCATGTTCTTGCTTGCCAGATATCTTGCAAAATATTACTTGCTTACAATTAGTTTCCACAATTTTAACTTGTCTTCAGCAAACAACTTTACAAAGTATTTCTCTGCTATGGCTAGACATAGGCTTTCAGAAATAATTGCTCACAAGTTGAAGATGGAATTATGTATCAGCAGAATATATAAAATACTGCCAAATTATAAATTCAAGACCAGTTATGATTTCATGTTCTTTTTGTTCTTTTTACTGTTTTCACTGTTATCTTGCCCAGAATGTTATGGGAAAAAAGAGTTTTTGTTAGTCAATTTAACTTGACAGAGAAATTGGAACAAACAATTGCAAGGTGGTAATGTTGCAAATGGTAAAATATTAGATCAAAATGTAGAACATTTTTACAGAATATTTATTGAAAATGGATAATGGAAATATTTCAAGATGTGTAAATGCTGGTAGAAATATATGGGCAGTTTGTGGCTTGCTGTGAGAAATGAATGTTTAACAGAAAAAGCTAAAATTCTGACCGATAAGAGTACCCATTTCATTATTTGTAAGTGAATCAGGTATTTCAGAAGCATAAAACTAAAATGAAATGCAGTGGGATTGGAAACTGAATTGATATTGAATGAAGGCAGACTGAATGATTGAGCAATCCAAAAAAAATCTGCTGAAGTGATTTGGTCATAAAGAGAATGAATGAGGATTGAATCATGAAGAAAAGAACAAGGGCTGAGAGGAAGAGGAAGACTGAGAAAATCATGTGTGGATGAGTTGAACAGATCCTTAAAAAGAAAGAACTCAGAGTGGCAATGTATAAATTGGTATTTGGACATAATGGAAACAAGAGTAGTTTGATAGAAATGTATTGTTTTGCCAAATGCCAGGACAGTGATCAGGTACCTAGGCAATTGGTTCTTTTGAATCTAGAAAAGTAAGCACAAGGAGTTTTCAAGCTTTATTATTTAACTGTAGCAGGCATATTAAACAAAAACCCAAGAAACCATAAAATACCACACAAGATTCTCTCCCTTCAGCTGCTGGGAGCTCCTTTTCAAGCAGCAGAGAGATCCTCTGGGTACACAGCACTGAGTCTCAAATTTCATGGACAGTTTCAATATTTTTATTCAAACCTGGCATTAAGACTTCGTGGCCCTGCTTCCATAGTCACAAAACTGCAATGCGAGACAGTTGTAGAATTTTCTTAATAAAGTAAAAAACAGAATATCTCACCAAACTCCTCAAAATAGAATGGTCTTCCGCATGGCCCCTATATAAAGAGAGAAGTGTAGGTAGCCTTCAACTTACAATAGCTCATTTAGTGTCCATTTGAAGTTACTAAAAAAGCAGGTTTATGACTGTTTTCATATTTACGATCATTGCAGTATCCCTGTGGTCATGTGATCTAAATTCAGGTGCTTGGCAACTGGTGCATATATATGACAATTGATCTGACCTGGAGTCACTGATCGCCATTTGCAACTTTCTGAGAAGCAAAGTCAATGGAAAAGCCACAGCCAGCTTACTAACTTAACAACTGTGGCAGTGGTAGGATTCAAAGAAAATTACTACCGGTCCTGTGGGCATGGCTTGGTAGGCATGGTGTGGCTTGGTGGGCATGGCTTGGTGCAGACAGCAGAGGTTTCGGGCAGCGAGGAAGGAAACCAATCAGAGATTGGCGAGGACTTGGGAGAGTCCTGCATCCGATGCAGGGATGGGGCCAAGACCATCTGAGAGTGGGGTGCTGCCTTTGTAGCCTTCGGAGTCTGGCAGCAGCGAAGCACAGGTCGCAGGGGAGCCTGTTCCCAGTGCTCGTGTGCACCAAGCTGCTAGAAGGTGAGACCAGCTGAAGCAGAAGGGGCGACTCGAAGGTGATTATCCCTCCCATAAGAGATAAAAGTCAGTCCTCAATGACGAGGAGCTTTGCAGGAAGCAAAGCAGTTCAGTAATCTCCGAGTCCTTCGTGAAGCTCTGTACTCTGGTCGGTTTTTGCTGGGTTTTTGGGTTGGTTTATGTTAGCTTTAATTGGACTTCTGTTTCTTGGCAGCATTCTACAGTCCTGAAAAGCGTGTTCTTATCTGGAGGAACTGTGTCTTATTAGTTTTGGCTGGGAATGCAAGTAATACCCAGTGTCACATTAAAAAGGTTTTATTTTTAAATTCAGTTTGTCTTTTATTAAGTTTGACGAACCCTGGATCAGAGCAGGTGGGCATGGCAAGGGCACCTGCTTTCCAGCTCCGTTCTCCTGTGCAGGGCAACAAAAGAAGACCCAGCCGATCAGCTGGGACTTGGGAGGCAGAGAATAGATGGGGGTGGGGTCAGTCAGAGATGATATTTGCTGGGTTCTCCGAACTACTCAAAATTTCTGCTATTGGTTCTACGGAACTGGTTAGAACCTGCTGAATACCACCTCTGAACTGTGGCAAGAAAGGTCGTAAAATGGGGCAAAACTACATTACATTACATTACATTACTTACATACATTAAGAAAGTAATCGTTGAGTGATGCAGTGGCCTAGAGATGGAGCTCTTGCCTCACAATCAGGAAGTTGTGAGTTCGATCCTAGGTAGCAGCAGATATTTCTCTCTCTGGCCACAATGAGTAAATATCTGCTGCGAACTCTGCATTGGCGACAGGAAGGGCACCCGGCCAGTAAACACTCAGCTCCATACAGTTGCCCCGACTCCACCCTGATGTAAGGGATTATGGGGTCATTAAAAGACAAAAAGAAAAAAGAAAGCAACAGCTGTCTTGCTTAGCAACAGAAATTTTGGGCTCATTTGTGGTAATAAGTTGAGGACTACCTGTATATTAAATATAAGGAATGGGACTGATGTAAGGTAGATTTAGTCAAATGTCTCTCTATGTTTATCACATTCCTTAGATTTTTTTAAAAAAATCATTACTTAAGTATAGTTTTGTGTGTGTGATGGATATGTATGCACAATTATATAGTTTGAGAGATTTTGTAGATCTAAATCCTTCTCTTGTTCCCCTGATTGAGACAGTTATAATATTCAGTAATGCAGTGTAAACTGCATCCTTTTTTTTTTAAAGAATATGATTAACAATGTAAAGTGTGTATTGGTAAATTCCAACTCTATCTACTCTATCTATAGTGATCTACATGGAGTTTGTTTTGCATTAATACAGAATTCAGCAACCAGATTCATTTACAGAAGCAGCTCAGTCTGTCCAAATTATACCAATTACACAGCTGGTACTACATATGTTGGTTATTTTTTATGGATGAGATACAAAGTTTCCATTATTACCTTGAAAGCTCTGCATAACTTGAGTCCATAAGCTGAAACAATGCCTTCTTTTATATAAAATTCTCTACTGAGAGTCAACCGGGGAGTCCATCTACTGTTTCTGTGAGCGTATCCTTTGATCACTTGCAAGCGAGCATTTTTTGTTGCTATCCCATCTCCAGAAAATAAAATGTTTCCCAAATCTTCATACTTCTACATGCAGCAGCTTAAAAAAAAACTATTGAAAACATGTTTTTTGAAAGAGCTTTTATTGTGTGTTTTTCTGCCGTCCCCTTGTTTCATTGTTTTTTTATTTGGGTATGTAAATACACTAAGGAGTACAGCCAGGTAGGCTTCAGGTGGTCCGTGTTAGCTCATGTGACCAGGGGTGCTTAAAATAAAGTAGTTGGCAGCCAAATTGCTTCTATCTTTGGATGGTATTGAGGTGTGTTTGTGTGTGTGTGTATGTATCTCCTATTCAGATCTGGGCCATTTTTAAACTCAATATTTATTTTGTCAGCTTGTTCTCCTCCACCAAATTTAGCCTCATTTCATCCTGGTTTTGGAAAGATATCCTTCTGATAGGCAGAGAGAGTCCCTATATGTAATATATTTCCAAAATTCTCATGGGAATCAAAATTGAATTTTTGCCTTTAGGATGTCCTGATCTAAATCTGCAGAAAGATTTTTCATTTGTATTTTATTTTGTATATTGTTGTTGCTTAAATGTCAAAATGTTTAAAATTGTTTATTATAATACGTTCTATTTTGTACATTTTTATGTACTTTAATAGTTCTATTAAACCTTCTCTTTAAGGCTTCTTTTAAATTAAAAGCAGAATAAAAACAAATAAATAAACATCTAACCCTGGAACCAAACTATATTTCAGCAGCCAGTTAACAATTATGCTGGAAATATATAAAGTACAAATTATGAAATGTTATTTACAATGTAGCGAGGCCCTTGCATGTTTATTCAGAGGAAAATTCCCATGATTAAAGGAATTTACAGCCAGGTGAGGGTAGATGAAGCTGCAGCATTAAATGATGTAAATAAAGCCTTATGATAGTCTCCTACATATTTATTAAATGATATTGAAATATATCTATCTGGTTTATGAATTACATATTGTTCACGTATAGAACAATAGATTTATAGAGTTATGGCTATATCTGAAGGAGACAAAGTTCAGTTAATTGTAAGTATTTCTTGATTGTGCACGAAATGATCAAGAATATCTACACTGTGGTAAATTCTATTTTGTTATGTTAACCAACGCTCAACTTTTTTTTGTTTTTGTTCCAAAGCTCAAGATTGCTCAGAGTGTCGTATGGTGCTGTCCAATCCCACGGGAATTTTTACCTCTCCTTGCTTCCCCAATAATTATCCCAACAATCAAGCATGCAAGTGGACCATCAGGGCTCCTTCTGGATACATCATTCAGATAACATTTGTTGATTTTGATATTGAAGAAGCTTCTGGTTGCACATATGATCACATAAATTTGGACACTGGAGACAAGAAAGATTCCTATTGTGGGATGACTGCCAAAGGTTTATCATTTAACTCATCTAGGAATGAAATGATTGTAACTTTTACAAGTGACTTTAGCATTCAAAAAAAAGGCTTCAATGCTACTTATACCCGAAGTAAGTATACACTTCTTGCGATCTTCAATCTGTAGACTATACATAAATTTCTTGTGATTTGATCATATCTATTTGATAGTAAAAGTAAAATGTTATTATTTATCTAGGTTAGGTAAGGTATCCAAACCATAGAGTTAAACCATCGGAATTCTCTTATTTAAAGAAACCGTGTTGCCCAGCGGATAAAAAAATATGGTTCTTTATTCAGATTTCCTCTCGATCATGAAGTCAATAAGAGGGCCTTAAGTTTGCCACTCTCTGTATTTTCCTGTACTTTGGGCCTTCTACATCTGCATTGTAGAAAATAATATAGATCTTACTGGGTTATTGTATTGCAAGATAGGGCCCAATATGGGCTGTAAAACTCTAGATGAAGAGCAGATGGCAGCAAGACAAACCAAATATCTAATTCTTGGTTGCTTTCTAGTGGTGGTCTAAATCCTGTGCACAGTACAGGTAGTCCTCAACTTACCATTTGAAGTTACAATGGCATTCAAAAAGTGACTTATAACTGGTTCTCCTTCTTATGCCCGTCACAACATCCCCATGATCAAAATTTGAGCACTTGGCAACTGCTATGAATTCACAATGGTTGCAGCGTCCCAAGTTCGTGTAATCCCCATTTGCAACCTTCCCAGTCAACTTCTGACAAGCGATAAATAGATATGGTAGAATTTGCTTAACAACCATGTAAATCATTGAACAACTGCAGTTGTTTAACAACCGTGGCAAAAAAAGGATCATAAAATCAGGTGTGACTCACTTAATTGCCTTGCTTAGCAATGGAAATTCTGATTCCAATTGTGGTTTTAAGGCAAGAACTGCTTGCATATATATCCTATAATGTACTGCTTGCATATATATCCTATAATGTACTATGAGATTATGGTATGTGCTGACTAAGCAAATAGGAATGCAGTGGATTTCCTTAAGCTTTCTCATTGAACATCAAAACCTTTCAAGACTAAATCAGATTATATAGAAGGTTTTCTTTAAATGCATGAAGGAAATTAGTCATCAGGTAATCAGATTAATGAAATGACTGCATATCACTATTTCATTAATGAAATAAGATTTCTGTTGCACTAAGTAAAAATGAAACCCTAGTTATAATTAAATAAAAAGCTACCCCATAGCAGCAAATTAGCCCCATTGATCTAATTTAAGTTACCTTTTGATTAGCCGGGCCTGTGGCCATTATGTCTTGTTCCCACAATGTGATTATCAAAGCTCTATTAATTGCTTTTTTTAACAGGCCTTTCCAACTTTTCAAGGAAAATGTAACTTGTACACCATAGGGGGGAAAGGTATCTATGTTCGGTTGCACATTGAGATTAGTTATTTTTTAATACATGTTTGCCATTTACAAATATAGCTAGGTATAAAACTTACTTGATGGCACATAAAATGTTATAGATATTGTTTGAAAAGGAATACCAATAGCAGGAATTCCTGCTATTGATATTTTAAACAGTTAAACATTTTTATATCAGGAGAGAAATGTGTTAATATTTTTGACACTATGTTTCTTGTGAAATTACTGACAGAATGCTTATCCTTTCTGTCTAGAGCTACTACTAAAATTATTTGCATCAGGTTATCATTGTTACATCACTGGGTTTGTAAGGGCTTTTTTTCAGTTTTTCTTTTCTAGACTCTCTTCTGGGGATCAGTATTCACTTCTTTTGTTTGCTTGTTTTGAGAAACAAACAGACTTCCAAAAAGTATTAGCAAGCAGGAAATAGTTTCTTGTTGCTAAGGCAAACCAGTTGATTTACATGGTAGCTAAATCAGAATATCTTTCCCTTTTATCAGTAAAAATGTAGCAATAATACACAACAGCCATGGTGGCACAGTGGTTAGAATGCAGTACTGCAGACTACTTCTGCTGACTGCCAGCTGTCCGACAATTCGATTCTCACCAGCTCAAGGTTAACTCAGCTTTCCATCCTTCTGAGGTTGGTAAAATGAGGACCCAGATTATTGGGGAAATTATAGTGACTCTGTAAACCACTTAGAGAGAGCTGTAAAAAACTATGAAGCGATATATAAGTCTAAGTGCTATTGCTATTAAGTGCTCTTTCATAATTCCCCTCCCCAGTATTTTAAAGCAGTCACTTTCCTCTGCTTGATGATGTGGCTAAATTTATATTATTTGTGGAGGAAGGATATTTATGCTGCTGTATTTTCTATGGGAACCTTTAATTAATCTGTTAATATTTATAACTAACACAATGTATATCAAATGGAATCAATTACAAATGACTTCAGAATCATGCTTGGCAAGATAGGAATGAATAGAATTTTAAGGGTTAAATATTGATCAGCATTATGGCTACTATCTTATGTATGCTTACTGCAAAGTAAAGTTCAATTAAAATACTCAGATTCATTCCCAAGTACAGATACAGAAGATATGGCAGCCAGATGTGACTGCTGGTATATTTAGTAAGCTGTTTTGTGATGAAATGTGAATAGATTTATTCAACTGAAATTCAAAAGTTTGTAAACAAAGAGCTTTTATTTGTGAAATAACATGGCAGGGCACTCTGCTCAGATTGAAAAAGATGTCTGGTATTAATTTCTTCAGTTTAGTCGTATAAAATAACCCATTGAGAGCAATGCATAAAGAAATGAAAGGGCTGTTTCAGGTTACTGGTTTACTGCTTTGTCTAGTACAACAGGTAATGTATCCAAAACATTTTCTGCAATTAATTTATTCACATTTTGTAGGAATCAAATGGTCATATTATGTTAATTGACTACAATAATATCTCAGCATATATTTCTGACTGATGAGTTTAATTATAGATTGATAAAAAGTATTATATTACTTTTAATAAAACTTAATGGTAGTTGATTATGAAAATGTTTTCTTTCTATGTTCTAGTTGCTGTATCGTTGAAGAATCAAAAGGTTATCATTCCACAATATCTAGATTCTGATTCTGTGTCTCTGGCAAATTCTGTCCAAGTCCCAGATCTTAATCAGTTCACCCTGTGCTTTGAAGCAAGAACAAACAATAAAAGTAATAACTATGAATGGAAGGCTTTCTCCTATGGTGATTCCTCTGTGGAATTCTTCAGCTTTGGCAAAACAACACAAGGGCACTTCATTTTTATCTCAGACTCAAAGTGTTTTTTAAATGATGCTCTTAACATTGGTACAGATGAGGACATTTTCACAGAAACATTTGAAGAGCTTTGCATTGTATGGGATAGCTCATCAGGCATAGTAGGTATAAATGTCAAAGGGATGTATAAAACAGTCCATTGTTTAGATACTTATGAAAAAGTGATTCCTGGTAATGGAAAATTGGTTCTGAGTTCTGACAGAGAAGACACAAGGCCTTTACCTGGAGATATGTACAACTTCCGGCTTTGGAATTTTACAATGAATTCCCAATCACTTTTCAACCTCACCTGTGATGAGAAAGGTAACATTATTGACTGGGAAAATGATTTCTGGAGTATTCCAACAACATTTCTAAAAGCAGAGAACAACTTGAGTTGTGGTGAGTTTCTTTTCTAAATTTAGGCTTTTCTCTTCGGTACAGCTATTTAGGATGATTTAGGTCAGAAAGAAACTTTGTTTATAGTGAAAATGAATTAAGATGCTCATACCCCATTTTTTTTAACTTGTTTAGCTATAAGATTCATATGCCCCAGTATATGTATTATTCTGTAGGTAACTTGTGGATTCAGGACCTTCAGGACCTGCGTTTATTTATTTATTCAATTTATATCCCTCTGTTTTGTTCAGGAGCTTAAGGTGTTACACAAAATATTCTCTTATTTTTCCCCATAATAACAATGTGATCAAGTAGCTGGGCTGAGAAAAAGTGACTGGCTAAAAGTCGCTCAGTGAGTTTCCATGGCTGACCCTTAAAATTAGAATCTGTCCTGACAAGCTCAGCCCCTTAACCACTACAGCACAAACTGATTTCAAAGGCTTTTTTAATAGATTTTTTAATGAGCTGTATGCACAATGTTGTAAGTTTAACAATTGTCAGATTGTTACATTTTATTGTTTATTGAATTGTATTACACAGGCTACAATCAGTAACAAAAACTATATAGCATTAAGTGTTATATTATGCTTCTCTTTACATTAATGATCTTAAACTAAATGTATTCATTTATTTGTATGCTACCCATTCAAAAATAAGTTATCAAAATAGAAACAAAGTTTGTAAACAAGGCTTCATTTTTCTAAGCAATCAGTGTCTTACTAGCAGTCAAACTATACATCTTATGAAAAATCCTACAGAAGAGAGAATAAAATCACCCTTTCTCCATTTCATAAAGTACTGTGTACTTTTTAAACAGTTTTCTTCCAGCTTTGGCATAGAAACTGGCATAGAGCTGTGTGGAGTGAAGTCCAGAATGCAGAAATGTGGTATTATCAGACTGAAAATAAAGTTGTTCCACACCTATCTTGATTATACCTACTCCAATTCCAAGCTGGATAAAAAGGCTAAGCCTTGACCTGTATATTTGAGGGATCCTAAAAACCTCTCCATGCAAAAATGTTCTTCTCTATTCATTTTAAGCGTGAAGCTTATTACATTGGAGTCTTCGGAGGGCAGAGTAGCACTCACCATTAGAGGAATGCTTTTGAACTTGGCATTTTGCAGAGGCATATCCAAACAGGTCAAGATGGCAAGCATATCAGTGTGAGCACAGCCCTTTCCTTTTGAATGTGCATGCAGCACACATGGAAAAGGGACAAAAGTTCAATTGCTCTGACCCACCTGCCATTTTGCCTCTAGCAACCTGTGATTGCCACAGACAAATAGCAAAATAATAGTCAACAATTTTAAGGAAATAAACCTCTTTGTGCTGTATATTTGATCCTTAATCTGCCTTGTATGATTGTTGTGATTGTAAAATTGGAGAGATTCTGACAATAGGGCAGTGTACACATCCACCAACTAAGGATCAAGATGACGCTGATGATACTTTTATAGCAAGATGAACATTTTACTTCTTTCCTGAAATTCTCTTGCAAGGGAAACTAATTAGATCAAAACATTCTTGTTCCCATCTAATTTAATTTCAATACATCCTTGATTTTTTATTAAGGGTATATGCTGATCACATACCAATAGGTATGATTAGATCCAGTTAATCACACACTCTGTTTCAAAAGTCACATAACTCAGGTATGACATAAATCAAAATCACAGTTCAAGAACGTTTAAGTTTGTGCCTCTCCTCTGATTGTAACGGGCAATCAAAAAAGATAGCAATTTTTTTTTGAAAAAAGACTCAGATAGATAGAATAACCTCTACTAAGAGGAATAAGTACAGTCTTCTTCAAATTGAGCTTTGTTCCTGAACTCTGTGAATAGAAGTGACCTGTGATCCAATTTCTATCCAGTCTAGCTTAGTTTTTCAAGATTAGTCATGCTAGACATTGCCATCCCGTTGAGCCAAGGATATGGGGTCATGTGCCAAATTTTAGACATTTAGGTCCAGTGGGGTACCTTTTCAATCTAGAAGTTTTCAAAAGTGGGGGTGGGGGGTTGATCCTTTTGCGGATTAGAAAAAAGGGCTTTGTAAATTTCTTTCACACATGATTAGGTTAAAATAAAAAAGCACTTGCTTTCTCCTTCAGCTTTTGTTAGTAAGTAATTTGTATCTTTATGTTGTAGAGGTGCCCCCAAGCAGGAAATCTCAAAAATTTTCAGAAGGCAAGGAAATTGTAAGGAGTCCATATAACTTTAAAGCTTTATTGCTTTAGATGTCTACTTTGTAACAGAACTCACTCACAAAAGCTTTCAAGTATTTCATGCTTCATGGTTTTTAGTAGGTGATACAGTCTTTTGAGACTAACCATTTTATTTAAGGCGTAACATTTTGAGGGCTGCAGTTAATTTCATCAGGCGCATAATCTTGGTTTATGGGAGATTAAATACATTAGGACAGGGGTCCCCAAACTTGGCAACCTTAAGACTTGTGGAGGCTGACTGAGGAATTCTGGGAGTTGAAGTCCAAAAGTCTTAAAGTTACCAAGTTTGGAGACCTCTGTATTAGGATGAGGCAGAGGGGGTATGCAGAAGGTAGGAGAGATCAGGTTATGGAGATGTGGTTGTTTGGGAGGCACATTACAGGTACTACCGACATGGCCCACCTTCTACAATATACTGTATAGGCAATATAGTGCATTTGAAAGGGAGCCTTCAGTCTATGGTATGATTTTGAAAGCAGTGTGCAGAAAGAAAGTGATAACATAGGCTTCTGCTAGCAATGCTACACTACACAAACATCTGTATAACAGTGACGTTACTCTAGTTTGGGTAATGAAACGCCTGCAAGAAAACAACCAAGTTCAGAGAGCACCAAGGACCCCACATTTCAACCCCAACTACAAATACTCTCCTTTAAAAGAATGTTTTTCATTTATAAAATGAGGGTTTTACTTGTTGATCCAGAACTTTTGTGCATATCATCACAACCATTATTGTTTACATGAAGGGGAAAATTGTTACAATTTCATTTATACATACAGATAGCATCAGGAAGCAAGTATGGTTTTCTTTAAAGTTGAAAATCCTCAATTTCTAATTATATCCTCAAAAAAGAGAGCCATTATTCTGAGGAACATCCATGCCTACCTCCATTAATTGTGCCATCTGTGGTGAAAGACAAGATGTTCCCCTCTCTGCTGCCACAACTCATTTCATGCATAGAAATGAACAAGTCTAACAGCTGAATCTTATTTTAACATTGGCATTGGAATAGTGTTCTGTCACAATTGGCTTATAGAACATAGTCTATGTGTCTAATTTCATAAGGAGCTTCTATCCTTTTGTCTTTTTGTGAAAAATGAACTATTAGTGTATTTTGTCTTCCTTGAATGAGGCAGCATGCCATTACATTTGCCTGAATCATAACTAGGGAGATAAGCTAGAAACGTTTGTGTTTACACTTGTGTATCAGATTTTATGGAACACTAAAAAAGTTTCAAGCTAGCCCCTCAACCTTTACCGAGTTAACAAAAGACACTATAGTATCCACTGTTATATTCAGCACATTTATTTAGTGATCTGTTTACACTTTTTGCTTTCACTTTGTATTTACTAAAGCAGTTTATTTAGCTATCTCGCTGAGTTTCTCATTAAAAGGCAAGTCTTGTTTGTCTCTCCTTTTTTTTTAAAGGCTCATATCTCGTTCCCTTGCCGACAGTTGAACCAACTAGCTGTACCACTACAGGAAGCCTTTGCCGAGGTAAGAAACTAACACTAGTCTGATGAGTCAGAATTTATTGCTACCTTTTCTTTATTAGGCTTTAAGATTTAAATGGAAAATATACAGAGGAGGAATATGATAGCTGAGACAGAAATGGACAAACCAAATGTGGAAGGAAAAGAAAAATAACTCTTATGTTTTCTATTACATATTTTAAATTTTGTAGATAATCAACACTTCCAGGCTCTAACCTATTTTTTTCCTTCATTTAGTTTGTTGCTATAGTATATTTCAGAAGTGTACTTGTTATTTTGACACAACAAGGATATGAGCAAGCTAATGGATCTCAGCATTCTCTTTAAGACTTAATGCAGTGTTAGTTTAGTTATACAGGTACTAGTTAGTTAGTACGACTTGTGGTAATTTATCTTGATTCATGTTCTTGATTCATGTTTTACTCTCTATAGTATCAAAATTATACACAGAGTTTCTGTGGGAGGATTTTATTTTATTTTTTGAGAAGCAAAAGAAAACTCGTATTGTTCCTCTATAGGCCAAGCAGTTAGGAAAGCTTTTTTTGATTTTGACCTTTTGTCCCCTTTGCTTTCTTATATTATGCTGCTCATAAAAAATCAAACTTAGACATTACAAATATAACAAAGTCTTATATCTTTTTTTCCTTTTCTCTACTACTTACTTTCTTTTTATACATTTAGTTTTTTTCTTTATTTCTCCTTTTCTCTCTTTTTCTTTATGAATGTTCTTAATACTTTGGGTAATTTTAGTTCTTAATATTAAAAAAGAAATAAATTGTCGTGACTGTTAGTTGAACATCTATCTGTGGGGCAGATAGTTCCAGATATAAATTACAGTTTGCCCATTTATCTTTACCATTAATTCTACATCATTGCTTATCTCCTTTAATATTTTGCAGTGAAAAGATAATATAGCATGAAGATTTCATTAATTTTCTGATTCATAATGACATGATTTGTGAGATAAGTCACATAGCTGTAAAACCGTGTTTATACTTGTTGAATGCCTTAGTACAGTAGGCATTCAGAAAACAGTTATTAGATTTAATAATTTAATGTGTGTATGTGAGAGAGAGACAGAGAGAGAGACAAAGAGGTGGGGGGGAGGGAGAGAGATATGAAATAATGTACTAAATTATTTCAGTTGGAGGATGGTTTGAGCTATATTATCTATGAAAGAAGAATTTTATTCTCAATGTTTGGAAAGTTGGTTCCTGGGACAGGCATATGTATATTTCTTTCACATTTCTGTTTTTGACTTAATCATGAAGGCTTTACTACATTGCAAATTGGGTGAAGAAAATGCTGTCAGGATAAATGCTGTTATGTGCAGTTGTGTCAGATATGGAATATAGTCAAGTAGTCGTTGCAAGGCTATAGTTCAGTTTTTATTAACTGGGTAGCTATATCCTGCTGTACTTGTGCTGTGTTGTATGGTCCTGTCTTTGTGTGATGGGAGTCTGAAATCTTTTGAAGATTAACAACTTTCTGTTGTCCTAATCTAGCACCGAAAAAAATATAAGGGTGAGATTTAGGAGGTAGAAAGCAATTGTGAACATGGATTTGTGAAAGAAATGGGATAGATGAAGTACACCCAACAATTTTTCAATTCATAAAGCAACCGAATAAGAGTTGGAAGTGACTTTGGAGGTCTTTTAGTCTACCCCCCTACTCAATCAAGACACCCTATACCATTTTGTCCTCTTCTTAAAAACATCAGGTGATGGAGCACCCACAACTTCTGAAAGAAAACCATTCACTAATTAACTGTTCTAATTGTCAGGACATCATTACTCCTTAGTTCTAGGTTGGTTCTCTCCTTGATTATTTTCCATCCATTGCTTTTTGTTCTGTCTTCAAGTGCTTTGGAGAATACTTTGTAGCAACCCCTAGATATTGGAACACTATTATCATGTCACCTCTAGTCTTTCTTTTCGTTAGACATACCCAATCCCTGCAACTGTTCTTCATATGTTTTAACCTCCAGTCCTCTAATCATCTTTGTTGTGCTTGTCTGCACTCTTGTCTGCACTCTAGCACTTTCTAGAGATTCATCTGAAGAATACATCAGGTATGTGTAAGAAGAGATTAGGTAAATTGATTCAGTTTTTGTCTGAACAAGTGCTGGAATAGCAGGAACAGTTGCAAAACTATAAATTATGTCAGCATTTATCAGGCTGAAATCCAAAAGATGTATGTGTTGAATGTTATTGTAGAATAGATTTGGACTTGTTTCAACAGGATTTTCTAATATATTTTAGCAGAAATGGTTCAGAATTCTGGGAGTCAATCAGTATAGATTAGGCAGAGACTATGATTTCCAAATTCCTAATAAACTATTTAGTTTTGACATTTGAATTTCCAAGTTGCTGAGTTTGTGAAATGTTAATATCAATTAGAATCTGCTTAATAGTTTCATCTGAAATTGAAATTTGACAGTTTCTTGTTAAAAGTTTGTTTCAAATTCAGTTCAATCTATAAATATTCTCTCTTATTCTGCAGTTCTTTTAATATTATGCTACATAGTTAATACTATGCTGCGTAGTTGAAGATATTGCAACATCAATAATTCTGATCATTCTACAGAGAAAGTCTCAAAAATTGTCTCATTAATAATCAAAAAATAGATGTCATTCAGGATAGACTATAGTCCTATCTACTATCATGACCCTAGGTGAATGCAAGTGTGCAACAAGTGATTTGAAATTCCCATCATTTTCTCTAAAATTTGAAGTTTTGTTCTGTTTAAATAAGGTATGTTTCATTCTGAGTTTGCAGGGAAAAAAATGTTTGATTTCGTGTAGTTCTATAGTTCACACTATTAATAGGTATAGTTACTAAACAAATATTACAGCAGATGTTTTTGACTGAGCTGTTGTCAATGCATTTTTTCTAACAAAATATTATAATATATACTAACTTAATTTTTTTAAATAGAATGTCTCAATCGGTTGATGTTCTTAAAAGATGAGCATGCATCTGTTTTTGAATATTCCCAATCATGAGTGGTACTCTCTGATTGCCAATACAAAAGACTTCTGAAATTGAGGCAACTTGAAAATGTAATCTTGTTGTGGTCATTATGAAGGTATTAATCAGAAGCTGACATAGTTGGCAGATAGATGCAGAGCAAATGTTATGCTATTTATAAAGGCTCCTTTTTCTCATTAAGAGAATATTATTTTGAATTTTTATGCTCACAGGTGGACTATGCTGTACTTCATTTCAAACAAATAGTGTTATTCAGCTGACAGGTTTGATATTAAATTTACAAGTCAGTGGCTCACTTGCAAACAATATGTGTAGGATTGAAATATCTGCTTTATTAACTAATGAAAGATATTGTTTGTTAGTATACTGTAACAAAACTGAGGATAAATTCATGTTACTTTCATTTTTTTAAAAAGAATGCAACGTATGTTTTAGCAAAATTTCACATAAAATTATAATCCATATTCGTTCAATTCATCTCAATTACAGCTAACAGCATTATTTGTCAACATCTGCATTAGTATCTTTGTTGCAGACATTGCAAGAAGCAGCTTGTTTTATAACACATTTGTCTACATTGGTCAGTAAGAAATAGTGTATAATAATTTATGTCATTCATCAGTTCCTGATTTGATTTTAAAAAGTGAGAAGTTTTAAGCATGAATTCACCCATACACTATTGTTAAATTGTTTGTGGGGCATTGTTTTGTCAAATTCAAGTGAAAAATTAGACTTGTTTAAAAACATATAGCAGATTGGAATTTGAAATGAGTCTAATGAGTATATATGTGTGATTTATGTTGTACATAGATCCAGTCGTTTAAGTCATTTCCTCTGTTTGTTTTTTCATGTATTCCTATTTTGCCTGACCTTATTAACATTCATATTCCATATAAGTTCAATTCTTTTTCATCTTTGTTACCAGCTACTGTAAGTTCAACCACTCCATCACCCACTGTTACCACTAACATGCCTGATACTAACAGAACCGATAAAATAATGGATGGTAAGAAATTTAATGTTATATTTTCTTTGATTATGTTACATCATTTTTATCTTTTGAGCATACTTACATTATATATGAGTGTCAGATTTTGTTTCAGCAAACACTGCTTAAAGAGGTTTGTGTCAAATAACAATTTTGGATAAGCAAGATTTCCTGTGCGGAAGGAAGATTTTCTAAAAGACTTCATGTTCCTGTTTTGATTCTTTTTATTAATCTTCAAATGCTAACAATTTTGCAAAAGCAATCTTAATGTAGTTCTCTGTAGGAGTAGTTATCCAGAGCACCCTTGGGGCTATATAAAATTATTCACATACTTCTGTCAGGGTCAATAATTTAAGTAACATCATTAAGAACAATCCAAATCCATTTGAAAGTGATTGTTACCTCTCTCCTAAAAATAACCATGAAAATTGATATTTCTTTTAGGATCCTGCAATATTCAAGAGACCCTGGTAAAGCAAGAATATATTTTAAGAAATATACAGATTGGAGAAGAGAGGACCAAGATTAGTCTCTTAGCTTGCCTATTCTTGCTTTAAAACAGTGTCAGATTCTGGAGTATTTTCAATTTCAATGCCAATGAAATAAATTTTAGATACAGAATTATAAAGAGAGCAATAAACAGCTATATAGGTACAAGGGTGAGCCAAGGTAGAGCATAACTTGGGGTGTATAAGAATAAAAATACTTTACAGGTGCTAGATAATGTAATAAAATTTATGAACAGGAGCTCATTCAAAGAGAATTCTGTGTTCCTGCACAATCTGTAATAATGAATATAATAAAAGTTTGATCAGACAAAGAACAGGACTGAAGTACATATTTCTGTCTCCTGTATACATTTTGAAAAATGTAAATCAGTGGAAGCAGTCTAGTATAATTAACAGTTTAAGAATAAATTGCCTAAATTTCTTGTTTAAACTTTGCATATCAGAACTCAGTCTATATAGTGCTGCTATAGTGTTTCAGTTCCTGCTGAAATAAATGATTTCTTCAAAATCAGTCTTTGAGCTGTATTTGATGTCAAAGTAATTTCCTTAAGTAATGTTTTTCATTTATTAATTGAATGACTTACTGTATACAGTCCTGCAGGAAATGAAAAATCCTGCTACAATGGTCTTCAGAGTCAAGAGAAATTCAGCTGACTCTTCTCAACCAATTCAACAGTGGCAAGAAGATTCTCAGATAAGAGGCATCAAAAACATAGGAATTATATCAACCCCAATAGTTTGGCCTGTAAAACAGAGGCCTTTACACACCAGTAAATTTACAATAACTGAGAGAAAAAGTGCACCCAGTTACTTCATCACAATAACTCCTGAAGTGATACCATCTGCTTCTACAGAAATGCAAATTAATAGCTTGGGCCCTTTCACAGAACAAGTAAACATAAATTATAATTCTTCCATCGAGGTGACTTACATTAGTAACATCTCAGGACATTCTGAAAGCGTGCTAAGTGAGAGTAGTATTTCACAGAAAACACCAACTCTCCCACTTGATCACATCAGGAATTTAGGATTTCATATTCAACAGAGTGGAAGTGATGAGATAGAAGATTCTAGATCAAATGTACTGTTTCCTTCACTGGTGAACAAAAACGGTATTTTTGAACTTACAGAAGAGCCTCAGTGGATGCTATCTTCTATTAGTTATACATTTTCCTCTGTGTATAATTATGCTAACAATTTCTTGCAGCCTTTAAATGCATGGAAGGAAAATACAACTTATGAGTATTTTATTTCCAGACTTCCAGAAGAAAACCTTTCTTCTCTTATTCATCAATACTATATATACCCTAAAGAATTAGTTAAAGAAACAATGCTTGGCTTATTAAACAAATTACTTGAAAGTATCTACTTGCAGCCCACAAATAGATTTCTACAAGAGGATTCTCTTAGGAATAGCTTTTATATTGTAGATTACTTACAGACTACAACATTGAATCACATAAGAGATTATAATTCAGTACATTTTAAAAAACAACTGTTTAAACACAGTGCAAATCCCTCTGGTTCATTACAAAACATGAAGGCCTGGTTTCCAGATGTTATGCCCAGAATCCATCCAACAGAAGTCTTCATGTCAGTGGAATATAGTAAAGAATTACATTTATCATCAAGTTTACCAAAAGCAAGAGGCAGAAATTCTGAAATTCAGCAAATTGTTTCTGTTTCGCCTTTCTATCAAGAAACATACAACAGAGCTTTTTTCAAAAGTGACTTTTTTGCACTTAATCCTCTCACTGAGCAATTAGATAATTTAGAAGAACAGGAAGGTTCATCTCTAGAAGATGAATTTGAGCTTCCGGATAAGTTAATTTCTTACAATAATGATGTATCTTCTTTTTCATTTCTATTGGAAGATTTCAAGTCAAACTCAAAAGTGATTTCTGGAGCAGGATATATAGGAAATAATACATCTAGCAGTCCATATAATGACATTTCTTTTCTCACAATTAATGATGTAAGTCTTCCAACACAATACATAAATACTTCCTTTTGGACTATGGTTAATGATCCTCTAGAATCTACTGGAAGATGGTTGTCCTCATATAATCAATCATATTCTTCCCTAACAGAGACAATGTCTTTTTTCATGTCTCCTACACAAATAGATGATATCACCATGCAAACAATTCCTTATAATAGACTAGTAGGCCATAATGTTTCAAAGCTATACATTTTTCCTAATACATCAGAAGATAATTTCAGTTCAGTTTTTGCAATGGACTCATCAAGGATTTCAGATGTTATTGAAAGAACAGCAACAAAATCAGTCCCTCTTCTTAGCAAAAATGGATCCATAAATGATATTTCAGCTGTTCATGTTCCTTTAACTTCCCAGATAACACCTTTGATTCAGCCTTCCTTGCATTTACAGATTAGTACTTACGATATATTACAAGGAAGGTTTACTAATGATTTAAAAATTACTGCCAATTTAGCCATGCAACAGACTACGGAGAAAATCCCAGATGATCAACTAATAACTTTTGTTCAATCTGCTACAACATCAGCTACACCATTTTTTGAATCTTCCTGTGTAAAAGATACCTGCAAAGTTTTATCCCTAAGTCCAGTACATTTTAAGGAACTGACACATAATGTATATACAGACTTACAGATTAGTCAGCTTACAAGTGCTTCTGATTATATGAAAAATGCAGCACATTCACATATGAATAATGTTTTTTTTGAAAAACAACATGCACAAATATCTGATTTGTTTATAAGGACATTGGCTTCAGAAATACTGCCTACCAAAAGTCATGGAATAATTGCACAATTTGACAAAAATTCAGCAGCTTTAATGATTTCAGATGCTTCAATTTCACAGAATCCTCTAATTAACCTTGATCAACATTTTCTCGATTCAGAATATTTGTGGAACGAAAAGCCAGTTCAGGAAACAAGCACCCTGAATAAAACACACCTTTCTGAAAATGAACATAATGATCCAAACAATTTAGAAAGCAAAGACATACTATTTCTTCAACCTGGTCAAGCAGAAGAGTTTGGTGATATGGATCACAAAAATATTGATACGAAAATAAAAGTTACTGTTCCAAAACAAGAAACAGTTGTTTGGAAAGTGCATCACAGTTCTAGCAAATCTATCGATGATCCCATTAAGAAAGGATTGACATCTTTGAATCCAAGTAATGTTAGTCTAACTGATTTTTATGACCAGACAATTGCTTCCTCTTTTGAAGACTTGAAATATGAAAAACTAGTAAATCACTCTTCCCTTTTGGAACAAGCCACAATTTCAGTAGTCACTGATGTGATGGTTCAGTCTTCCTTGTTGAATGAATCTATTAAGTATTTTGATGAAAATGTATCAAACAGTGGAATAATATTCCATAATCACAACTCAGACATTCAAAACGCAGTGGATATATCAGTTCATGAAACTGCTCTGACCAATACAGCACCAGACGCCAATCAAAGTATTGTGTTCAAAACAACATTGACTCCTACCAGCAAATACCTTTTGACTTATTTTTTATGTAATTCCTTCATGGACCGGGACTGCCCATGTGGAGCTGAGGTCAAACACAGTAGGTCAAAACGTGAAGCTAGATGTAGAATGAAAAATGTCTTATCTGTTAGATGTACAAATAGAATTTAGAATTACTGGTGCTAAATTAGACTTCATGCTTAGCAATAGAAACATTACAGCAATAGAAATTTATCAAAAATGCATTTATACCATATTAAAATGATCAGTGATCAAAGTGTAGAACTTTAGCATACGATTCTAATCACTACCATTCTGTTTACTAATTCAATATCTTTGAGGAGACTATTGTGACAATCAAATTAACTGTTTCTCCTATTCAGTGGAGATTGTTTTGTAAAAATCTAATGAAGAGAAATAATTACAGTTTGATCAGAAAATATGAGAGAGAAATCATATCAAATTATCTTCTCCATATGCATTCTTCTACTTCTTTCCACTGAGATGCTAAATCCTTGCTTCTAAACCAAAACATGGAATCTCTATCTTTCTCTATTATATGTCTTGCCATGCATAAAGAAAAAATACATTGAATCTACAGAAGTGTTGTTTTTTAAACTGATTAAAAAAACAATATCCAACAAAATGAACAGGAGAAATAACTGTTTAATAATGTTTAAATATATTTAAATAAAAAAACAGTTTTGCTTGATTTTTATTTTACTTAAATTACTGTAATCTAAGTATTTTGAAACAGTGATCTTAAAAAATAATATGAGTGGAACCTTCAGTGGAAAATGTGTTTTGAATTCTTTTAATATTGTCAATTGATAGTCTCCTGAGAGTAAAGCAAAGTTATAGTTCTTCATACTAACCTCAAGAAACATGTTTCAGAAGTCATTATTCAGAAGCGGTAGATTTGAATTTGCTCTGCTATTTAGAGACAGTAGAGTTTTCCCATTCAGTGTGATATAAAATAAATGGTATTTTTCACAAAGCACATGAATAATTCATTTCTAGAAAGATATATTGTAAAAGAGATATTGTGTTCATAGAAAATTGGTTCAAACATATTTAAGGCATTGTATAGAAGTCTGCCACAGTCTTTCAGGATAAGGCTGATAAGCACCCACCTTTATCTCCCTTGAAATGCTGCCAACAACTAAATTGCCAATTAGCTGTACAAGACCAAACGGAGCACAAAGTCAACACAGAACTTCAGATTTTAAACCGACCAGAACAAACAAAGTTGCTTCCTGCAAAGGCTCATGTCACTTTGCTCCTCTTTTATGTCTTATGGGAGGGGCCAATCATCCCCAAGGCTTACTCCCGAGTCACCCCTTTTGTCTTAACTGTTCTTCCCTTCTGGCAGCTCTGCACAAGTGCACACTGGGAACAGGCTCCCCCTGTTCCTCTGCCTCGCTGACATCAGATTCTGGAGGCTCCAGAATCAGCACATAACTCTCAGATGGCCCTGGCCCCATTTCTGTGTCAGATGCAGATCCCTCATCCGAGCCCTCCCCAGACTCCAGAACTGGCCCATGTTCCTCCCCACTGTCTGACTCTGCTACCAGCTCCACAGGCTGCCGGCGGACCACAACATATTTCATCCTTTGTGTGTGCTATATTTGACATGTACAGAGCTCGCAATTGTGTATCAGTCAGCTAGCAAATTGTTTATTTTATAGGATAATTGAAAGGTGTTTTTTTTTGGTCCTTCTGCTTCAATACCCAACAATTATCTCCTCCAGCTGAGAAGGGGTTTCTTACATAGATTAATAAACTCTTAAGCTATATGTTTGGGGGGGAAATATTCTACAGCCCTAATCTATTACAGTAAGAAATAGCACATTTGTAAAAAGAGTTTTAAAGGTGTTTAATAAAGAAAACCCCAAATGTGCTGTTTTTTATAAAATTGAATACCTCCATAATGATGTGGTTTTTCTGAAAATTTTATCCCATACTAAAAATTAAAAGCAGTTTTAAAAGCATGATCAGTGGCTTTACCACTGGTTTGGTGATATGTCTTGGTGAGAATTTTATATATTTAAGAGTTATAATTCTGACATTTAAATTGTTTTTGTAATGCCTAGGTAGATTATACTACAGAATTGACTTTACTGTCTACAAAATCAAAGAAGATGCAGAGCCAAACATTCAGAATGTAATTAGAGAATGGGTAAGTTAGACTATTTTTCAAACCATTGTATATAAATTTTAAGTGTGCGTTTGAAGAAGTTACTTAAATACATTTTAAAATATTAATTTAAAAGTACGATCTTTAAAATTTTAAAGATTAATTTTTTAAAAAGCATGATTTAGAGCTGGTAATTTCTAGACTATTTGTCCAGATGTATATACTGTTTATCTGAAATACTGCTTTTTATGCTTAACTTTCAAAATCCATAGAGATTTAGCAGGCCCCCATCCTTTTAGCTTTTCAGAAGGCCATCAAGACCTGGCTTTTTACCCAGGCACTGGAGTAAAAAAAAACCTTTAACTCATACAAACTAGTTTTATCCAGCTATAAAGTTCACATTGGTTTCAAATCAATGTACTGTATATATCAATTTCCGTTTTGATAAGAAATTTTCTAGCTTGGTACCTTAACCATTACACCAGACTAGTTCTGCCTTTTGTCACTTCTAATTTACTTTTTCACCATAGTTTATGTAGGTTTACTATCACTGTATAATCACAACCTTTTTGTTGGTGATGGCAGTGATAGAATTATTATTTATTTCACTGTTAAAAATGTTTTTAAAGGGTTACCAGTTCTTAAGGACAAATGGAATCTGGATTGGTAATGTTCAAAAGTCATTTATTTATTTATTAAATTTATTTTTCACCCATCTCCCCTCGAGGTTATATGTCATATAGGCTATAAGGTTATCAATTTGCCAGCAGTGCCATTGAGATATTGTTTGAGTAAGACTCCCAGCTAAGACTTCTGCATGCAGATTTTCTTCTCGTATTTAGATTTCTCTCACTACTTTTAAGGATTAATAACAAAGCATTTTATCTAAACCTGCTTCATGTATCAACTGATGATTAATAGTCTCCTATTAGTGCTTTATATTGGTAGTGAAAGTATAGGTCAGGAAGAGAACATTATCACTAAGAAATATCGCCATGCCCTTCAGAATTCTTGATTTTCTGCTCTTAAATTTGATTTCCGTAGCCTGTTGTTCTGTGCTTTACCTACTTTTTTCTACAATTAACTCACAAGAAAATATGATGAAGAACAAAAGGGAATGTATGAAGTGCTTTATCAGTGTAGTAAAAGCAAGGGCAGAAGTACTGTATATAGTGAAAGTTGTTGATCTTAGCTATGTTCCCTGCCCAAGATCCTCTGTAATTTCTTTGGCTTGCTGTAAAAGGGCACAGCATGATTTTTGTGCTGGTGCTGGTAATTATCATGATGATGATTATATGAAAATAAACTCAGATTCTATGAAAATAAATTCATGCAAACTGAATGTAATGCAAAAATTAACAGTTTCAACAATTTTATGCATTTTAACCTTTGCATTGTTTTTCTGTTTTCTAGTTAATCCAGACCATGGGGAGCTGGAATTATAACGTATGTGTGGTTCATGTAAGGTAGGTGCTTGACAGGATGGAAGGGAAATATACTATTTTCTCCAGAAGGCACTTTTCTAAAAAAAATAAAAATACATCTTTTGTTTTTATAGTGTTGAACCGAGTTCAACAAAAAATGCAGCAAGAGGAAAGAGAAGCATTGATCAAAGGTAAATTTGTAAGAAATTCTTGAAAAGCTCTGAAGTAACTCAAGTAACTTTGTTCTATTTATCAAATGCTAATTGGATTTATGTTTGTCAAATAATTTTGCATGGTTATAACATGAGATATATTTCCCAGCATATACTTTCAAGTTATTCTTTAGTTATCAGTTTAAAGAGCCAATGTCATAATTCCTTCTCTGAAGACTCATTTGCAGGGAAAGATAAAAAGGAAGTTTAGGAAGCATCCAGAAGTTCCATTGAAGAAAGATGTTAGTTGAATGCATTTTATAAGGGACCTACTATATACTTCCTGAAGTCTGTTATACATAGAGGTAGTCCTTGATTTATGACCACAATTGTGCCCAAAATTTCTGTTGCTAAGCAAGACAGTTGTTAAGAGAGTTTTGCTCCATTTTATGACCTTTCTTGCCGCAGTTGAATCATTGTAATTGTTATGTTTGTAACATGGTTGTTAAGGGAATCTGGCTTCTTCATTGACTTTGCTTGTCAGAGGATCTCAGAAGGTGATCACATGATCCCAGGACACTGTAACCATCATAAATACATGCCAGTTGCCAAGCGCCTGAATTTTGATCATGTGACCATGGGCATACTGCAGTGCTAAGTGTGAAAAACATAAGTCACTTTTTGTAACATTAGTCTTTAAATGAATGGCCATGAGAACTACCTGTAGGTATTGGCATCATATAGCATCACAGGGGAATGTTAATAAATAACTACAATAATATGAATGTTCCACCAAACTTCATTTTTCATTGCAAAATCCAACTTCTATCCCATGGGAAACAGTTTTAGTATTCCAAGATCAAGTCTTACAATATTACCCTGGGACATCTATATATATTGCCTTCATTTGTGAGTTTTAGTATTGTTTGTTTTCTCAAAGACTGAAAAGGCCTGCCTCCGTTCAAAACCCAAGAAAGAAAACCCCTGACTCCATTGAGGCAGAGAAGAGGTACTTTTACTGAGTTTGAAATTATAGCGGCGAAAGGACAGCAAGATCTGATCCAAAAGGCGTGAAAGTTACATATTGACAGATTCCCCAAATCCTTCCCCCCAGGGACCCAGGCTGAATGTCCAGTCCATGTCTTGCATAGTGTCATGTGGAGCACCTTCAGGTGCTTTCGTCCCTCTGGAGTTCTAGGAAGTTTGGCCTTGACTGAGTGTAAACAACTCCATTCAGCAGCGCAGTAATTCTTGAGAGCAAACCTCCCTTTTAGTTCACATGGGCCTTCATCACACCAGCTCACTTCACAAACCCCAATGCCATTTGCCCCCTCCCCGTTACTATGGCAGCTGATAGCAAGCATGCATCAAAGGGAAAACCCATGTTGGAGATATCCGGCTGACAACTGAACTACTTAAACTAGAGTTATGGAAGAGTTCTCATAGAATATTAAAATGTGGAATGGCTTGACAAGTGGTTTGTTCATCTTACATCGCTTAGTAATTTATATCAAAGTTATAAAAAGCTCTTAATGTTCAGATTGCATTAATCATACACTGGTGACAGATACATGTTTGCCAGTTCCTGAACCACATGTTGCTTTTGCACCTGGAGCAGCATAAAAAGATCTCTGGACAACAAAGAAGTGACAACACATTGTTAATATATTATTAGCTTTTGAATAAATGCAATGTTTTCTTAGTTGTTACTGTAACAGCATATCTAATTTTTCCATCTCAATAATCCTGTTTCCCAATTAAATTAAATCTATTGGAAAGCAGAGAAAATATTTTTTTTAAATCATCATCATTTGTACTGAATTCTTTTTTTTTAAAATCTCTATATTTGCCATCTATATAACTGATGCCATGTCATTTTTGACATCACAGTAAAGGCACACATTTCTGTTCCTGCTGCTGCTGCTGTTTTTCCCTGAAAGATCGTTCATATCCTAGGTGTAGCCATATGACCAAGTCTAGGTCAGATGGGTAAGACATGTATTACAAAAGGGCTCCCTTTTTGTGTATGTGGACTCCCCATTTTATTTTGCAAATAGCATTTTTGCCGTTGATGTTATTTACCAGCTCAATAAATATGCGCTTGCTGCATACTCTTACTACAAGGAATGACCATTCCTATAACAAAATAACAGCAAATCCAATCAAACAAAACCATCTGTTTCATTTAACAGTGTTCTACAGAACTATTTCCTAAAACTGCATTTTGAAAAAAGTATAATACTAAATAGAATAACAGGAAGAACTAGTGTTTCTGTGCAATAAAATCAGTAGTTTTGTTTTATGGTGCAAAATTAAATACCACTTTTATGTGCTTTGGTACTGACTGATTTATCTGATCACTAAAACACACTAAAACAAGCAAACTAGGTTTTGGCTTCCTAATTAATATTAGTTGTTACATTGATCCTAGTTAAGATTAAGTAGGACAAAGTAAAAGAAGTGGAAATTTCAATTTTTCTTTGTGATCCCCATGTATTCCCCTTACCCCTGGGAAAAGGGGTAAAGGAAATACATAATATCAAGACACATTTAATGTTATCTGAGTTGCGGCTAAACTGTGTATTTATGTTACTCTTTATAACTTAATTTACCTTTAAATGATTTTAGGCACAACTTTTGTTCTATATTAGATTACTTCTTTTAGAAAGACTTTTTATTATTAGTTGTGATACTGTAGGAAAAATATAAGAATAAAACAGGATGTTCAAATATGGCATTTGTAAAGTGATGAATTGTTGAGTCCATTAATAGGATTGATTTATCATTTTTGTGTATTATATTAAATGACAGTGATCATATTTAAATGCCTTACTGTTATTATTATATTCTAATGCAGCAATTCTTTTGCAGTTTTGAAGTCCGTGCTCTTTTAGCTTACAATTCTACCAACAATGTAAGTTTAGAAGAACAAATGATTAGAAAGAAACTCGAAAACAGTAATATCACAGAAAACTTGGAACTCCGTAACGTGCATGTTCATTCAATTGGTAAGGAAGAATTTTTGTTTTTGTTGTGCTCTCATTTTCTGTACTTTGCAAATATTATTATTATGATCATTATTGCATACAAACTACTTTTTATCCAATAACTGTATTTTTAAAATACTGTTTCAGTTTATAGTTTTATATACTGTACTATGCTTTAAGAAATTAACTATTCTACATTGACCAAATAAACAGAAGACATTAAAGTAGTGAAGTCAGTTGCAACATATGAAAAATAAAAATTAATAGATTTATTAGTTCTGCTCATAGTTTGAAAATAATCTATAAGAAGTGGCTCAGACCATACACAACTTAAAGCACAGCACCTCTCTGTCATTGATTCATTCACAGTTGTCATTTTTCAGGTTCCTTTGTGAGGAAAAATGCCATTATATTAATAATCATACTGAAAACATGCACATTTAATGCTTCAATGAATATCAGAAGATTGATGTAGTGGCCAAAACACTTTTCCAAAACACTTTTCCCAAATTATTTTCAAAGCATGCAGTTCACCAATGTTAAACATTTCGTTCCTCAAGTTCACTTTTAACTTAGCCCTAGTAGAAACAAATAATACATTAGAAACAAAATTATGGGGAAATGGAGGCTTCTTGAAGCCGTTTGCACTTGTAATGGAATTCGGGCAAAGCCAGATCAAAGTTAGTTTGATTAGAAATGGGCCATTACATGAGCCCTAACTTAGAGACAATAAGACTGAGCAACATAGTGAGCTTTGCATACCGCATTACGAGCCACAATTCAGATCCAGGGACATTTAGAATCATTTGGTCTATCTTCAGTCCTGATCCACACATTCCTGATTTATTACGATTGTCAGATTACAAATTAGTTTAAAATGTATAGATTTTAAAAAAGCACAGACACTAATTTCTCCCTGATTCTAGATGATTTCTGTCTCTAATTGGAAAGTACATTTGTACTCAGTGATTTACATTTTGTTTCATAAATACTCATTCCATTAAGCATTTGCAAATAAAAATAACTTGGTATAAAATTAAACCTGATTTGTTCAGACTAGTCTAACAACTTTTACTAAAAAGCTACAGTGTTAATGGTTGTTTGTTTGGTTTTCATTTCCTCTTGTAGAAAAATGTGAGGCTCAGGAACAGCCTATGAATTACTTTTGGAAAGAAACTGGACCAAGAAACACTGCCACCATTAGCTGCTACGACAACCCTACCCAGATTGCATCACGAACATGGTAACAGCTCAGAGATCATGAGATGCTTAGTGGTGAGACTGAGATGAAGTATACTATGGATATAATTAAAAGGTGACGGATATAGGTTTTTAAAAATGAAGAAGTAAAAGATACAAAGGATTGACAACAGTACAGGACTGTGAGATTTCATAAGAACTTCCATATAGTGATTGCTAATAGTATTTTCTGTTCTATCTTTACTTAGCTTTCTAAGCATGAATAATTACACATCTTATTGGGATACTCCTGATCTTAGAAACTGTACAGGTAAGGATTTGTATATCTGCTTCATCTAGATAAATTTGACATATTTCTTTTCCAAGTTTCAAATACATCTGGGCCTTGCCAAGAAAAGTTTTCTAACTGTTAGTCTCTGATATAAAACTCTTTAATTCTCTACTGAAGAACGATGCAGTTTTGTTAGACTCTAAAGCACAATCCATGTTTATTTTAGATATATAAAGCAACAGCAGCATGGTGCCTTTTTATAGCATAAATATTTAAATTCTACCCAGAATATTTTATCAGGTTGAGGCTTTTCTTTTATTCCTACTGAAGAAAAACCAGAACATTTTTAGCATTTGCTATGGGAACATGGCCAAAATCTGCTCACCCTAGCACCACATGAGTAATTTGGGTAGCACTCCTGCTGACTAGGACTAGAAGATCATGCAGAAAAATTGCTTTAAAGATAAAGAATCTCGTTTATTGATACAAATGAAGCAGCTAACAAATCAAAACAGCCTGTTTCCTCTCTCGCCTATCATCTTTAAAGAGCATCTTTAGATTTGAGGCATTCATTCAGCATATTAATGCCAATAAGCTAATCTCTGTCCCCAGGTATTTGAGTTACCATATACATGGCTGCATCATGCAGCAGTTCCATAAGCAATGGACAGAACTGTATAACACAATACAAAAACCAACGCCAAAATCATACTAGCTTTACAGCTGATAGGCAGAACAAATGAATTCCAAAATCCAGAGAATGAAATGTCTATGGAGATTCTCAGTCATCCAGGTCATGGTTGTCCCAAAGGTACTTTTTCAAGAGGTAACTGGACTTTCAAAGTCCAGTTGCCTCTTGAAAAAGCACCTTTGGGACTCCAGAGAATGAAAGAAACAATCAAACACAGCAGAGTCTGAAACAGCCAAACAGTGAGCAAAAAAGCAGAGTACATTAGCCTACTGTCCAAAGCCATCTCCTATCTTACCATTTTTAATGGCAATCTGGAAGCTCTAATACAGCAGTACACAAAATATGAACTAAGTACATACACACCCTGATCCTCGACAGTAGCTATAATTGGAAAAAAGGAACTTTTTCTGGGACTAATTGCCATATATTGCTTTCTTCGTGTGCTTTCAGAAAATGCTGCTGACATAGCCAACCAGCTACTGAATCTTACAGGAGAAGGGCAGCAGTTGACTTCAGACAAAGTTAATGATGTGGTCCAGAAATTAAAAAAAATTGTGAATGATGAAGAAATCAATGAATCCTTGGGTTCTACTGTGATCACGATATTTTCTAATATTTTAACTAGTTCTGATAATGTATTGGCTGCATCATCTTCTGAGTAAGTGTTACGGGAAGAGGATCTGAGTGGTATGCAGAGTTTTTTTTAAAAAAATGTTTATGTATTGGTAGGACATATAAACAGTGTGAAACTTTATCTGCATTTTAAAATTAACCCTTCAAATGAATTATTTAAATCAATAAAGAAATGAAATTTATTTTTAAGTATCTTAACTTCTCGATTCATGGGCTTGATAGTAAATCTACAATTTGAATATTAAATCAGTTTTCCTCTAGGATCATAACAGTTGAAATAAGTAAAAGTGAAAAGTAGTTAAAATATAAGTGTGACAGGACATGCTAGTGATGCTAATAACATTCACTAGTATTAGATAGAAAGCAAAGAAGTGTTTCATTGAATCTAATTATGGTAACTCGTTAGCTCAAGTAACATCAATTAAGTCTTAACTGCAAATGTAATCCAAAGGAACAGATGCCCAGAGAAGAGACGCATTTGTTTGGAGCAATCATGGCTCCCAGCATGGCAGTAGAATGGAAATTATAATGCCCAATAAAGCTTTTGCAAATTCTCTCCCATTCTGGCCATGCTAATAGATGGGATACAACTGGTTTTGTGAATAGTTGTATTGTAGGGCCAACAACTATCAAGAATCCTGGATATCTCTCCAGTATCTACCAATTATGACAAGATTTCCCCATCACTATGAGAAAAATAAAAAAATAGACTTAGGTCTAAAAGCTGCATCATAATCTATGTTAAAAAGAAACATATATTCAAAATACCACCATTCTAAGAGAAAAATGAAGCTTTGAGAAAGAAGTAACTTTTTCCTTCTCCAGCAAGGCCAAGAATAGAGCAAAGAAAGACTGTAGTTCAGTCTTTTTGCTCACAAATATCTGAATATTCTGAGTTTAGTTTTTTTTCTTTATAATTAAGTAAATCTATACCAAAAATAAAGCCTACTAATGCATGCAAAGTTTCTTTAGACTCCAAAGTGTTTTTAAACTCATTATTTTCATGAATTTTATGTGTATGTTTGATTTTAGAGCTATAAAGACAATTGATGCCTTGGCATTGAAGATTCGGTTTATAGGTCCCTCCATGAGCATTTCAACCCGAAACTTAGCGCTTGGAGTTTCATCTTTGAATTCATCTTTATTCAATGGCTCTTCCTTCAGTGTCGGTCCCCAGAACAATGCTTCTGATTTTCAGGTATATCAAGAACATTTACATACTGTATAAACATCTAGGATTATTTTCAAGCAAGACATGTTGACAGGAATTCCATTGACTTATTCAGTGATTTATGCTAAGTCTGTCAATTCAAGACAGGGATGAGCAATGCATACTGTGTAACCCATATGTGTTTACCCTCCATTTGTGGCTTCTAGCACTCCCTAGAGTGATTGAGGCCAGATGTTTGTAAGAAGGAGAGTTTGGGAGGTAAAGCATCCTTTTTATTGCTTAAAAATTGCTGCCATCTCTCACCCTCCAAAAATACATGTTAGATTTTTCCCATGGGGTGGTTTTAGGGCAAATGAGTTCTTTAAGCCCTTAAATATTGTTATTGTCAAAACATGATTCACCTAAAGAAATCAAATCATGTTGAAGATACACTATAATTTTATTTACATGCAACAGTGTATACTGGGCTCCCAACATAACATTGACACTCTGCTGAACAAGCATGAGCAAAAACAGCACCAGAGCTTGTATACCTTTGGCCTATTACATAGCAAAGACAAGACAAAGAGAAAGGCAATCACAGCGTGGAATGTTTTAGATAAAGCCACCCATGTGACCTTATTATTATTTATCCTATCTTACTAGGTCAGCATGCTAGCCACACTATCTTTGAGATATGGTCAATGAATAGAAACAATTTGGTTTACTGGGCCACAGGTTCCTGATTTATTCTTCTGCCTGCCATCACCCAGGGTCAATTCAGCTTTCTGTGAATGTTTTCTGACAAGGGCATTTTTAAGTAGATACGGGAGGGGAACCTCATAGGTTTGTTAGTGAATGTTAGCTGATATGGAGAGGTTACTACCCTTTTGGCATCAGCCTGAGCAATTTAGTCCTACTCTCTCTGAAGACCTTATAACATTTTTGGCCACACTCCTTGTGGTTCCCAGCAGGGTACTGTTCTGTTTTTAGGTTGAAGAATGTGATCCATCTCTGGTTTCAGGTTTTGGACCTGTGTCCTACCTGATAAGGGGTTTGAGTTGTATTGTATTGTTGTGTACTGTTCTAAGAACTTTCAACAGCAAGTTAAATAGAAAGCCTGACACAAGATATTAGAATTTGAAAATTAGTATTATTCTGTGATAAACATTGTATCTGGCCCATGCTGAAAGTAGTCTAATTTAGGATTTATGAGTTGAGCAGTTCTTGAAAGTGGCCTCAAGGGCTGATTGCAACTATTAGTTGTTGCTTCACTGGGAGGGAGGTTGGTGAGAAAGACTCACTTAATTATTTACTTCCCAATGAATCCAAACCAAAATATATGTAGCACTATTATCCACCCTTTAAATTAGTAAACAATAGCTTTGAAAAAAATTAGAAGTTGATTTTATGAATCAACTGAATTTATATATAGACTGCTAAATGAAAATATTTTCAATAAAGTAACATTGATGTTTATTTGTAAAAATAAACAATATTATATTGATATTTATGTTTAATAGATTTTTTTTTTAATTTTCTTTATAAGGGCATAATCTTATGAACTGAAACAAAATAAATATTGGTTTTCATAATGCTGAGGAAGGGCTAAAACTTGTTATTAACTAAATAATTAGGAATCAGATAATCAAACAATATATTCCCTCATTCAATATGGTAAATTGTTTCTATTTTTATTTTGATAGAGTTTTTTTTTCATTTTTCTGTTTTAGATTGATTTTGATAAAAACCAAGACAATTCTCTTGCTACTATTTATTTGCCTCCAAGTTTGCTAAATAATTTAAATCAAGAAGATCTTGAAACAATATCCAGGGCTCAATTCACTTTTTTCAATAAAAATGGACTCTTTCAGGTAGGCATCAATATGTTTAATGATTTTGTAAAGAATGTAAGAATACTGAAATTTATCTTTATAATTTTGGTGAGATGGTACTGTTTTTATGACCCTATTCAGACACTATAAATTTAGAGAGAAGAATAGGATGACATTCATTTTACCTCTATGTGTTCATTATCTGATAAAATCTTTTGAAAATTTTTCTATGATTGGCAAATATAGTAAAAGACCTTTTTATTGTAAAGGCCAATTTAGACATCAAGTGAATTGCATGGTGAAATTAATGGGTACATTTTTAAAAATACCAATAGTGGCTCTTTTTCTTTCTATTGCTTTAATTTTTGTTGATTTTTTTTCTTTTTAACTTTGAGAGTCATGGTGACCTAAAAGTGGAGTTGTCACCTCACAATCAGAATGCTCTGAGTTCAATCCTAGGTAGCGGCAGATATTTCTCTCTGTGTATGCAATGAATAATTGTCTGCTGTGAACTCTGCATAAAGGACAGGAAGGGCATCCGGCCAGTAAACGCTCAGCTCTAATCAGTTACCTTGACCCCATCCCAAAGCAAGGGATTACACTGGTCATTAAAAAAAAATCTTATTTTTAATTTTGGTATTTAAAAAACAAGTCTTGATAATTTATTTGGTAAATTTATAAAATGCATAGTTATAGGAGGGGAGGCTAAAGAATACCAGAACTATAGGATTTGAAAAGAGAATGTAAATATTTCTTTGATATGCAGGTATTGCTTTATGAGCTTTCTTCAGTTCTGTGATCTGCTAAAGAGATCCTGCTGTCACGCTGAACAATGCATTGATGGGTAGAAATTCTTCTCAATTGCTGCATAACTTTGGAATGTATTATTCAGTGAAATACATATGGATCTCTTTATTTCTGGTTTTTAAAAGAATTTTGAAAACATTATTATTCCACTCTCTTTTATTAATTTTACTGGTGTTTTTGTTTTGTTTTGTTTTTGCATGCTCTTTTATGGTGCAATATGCCCTGAAAGGCAAAATAGAAATGTCTTCATCAATAAACATTTACATTTAATCTGGGGAAAATTTTCAATTAATAAGTAATATTAATCTGCCTCAAGATTTTCTAAAGAACATATGAAGTCAATACCAGTAGCATATTCATACACTAGAGCTTCTAAGTCTGTTAAGGTAATTCCCTGTTAGGAGAATGAGCGCATACAGGGAGACGTATTTGAGAGTAGTGTTTGAATAATACACACACAGCACACAGATACACTGTACAATAAATGTAGGTTTTTACTTCCAGAAAGGTTTAAGCAAAGTTCAAAATAGGCAATCCAAAGTCATTCACAGGTTAAATCAGTCAGTTTTCAATCCAGGGATAATCCAGTAACAAAGTCCAGTGTCAAAAACAGTTCAGTAACAGACTTACATTAAATCCAGAAAATACCAGTCAATTAGGAAAAATGGAGGAACTGCAATACTTTCCAACAGAAGGAAACAGAGATACACTCTTTTCTGAGACTCAGACTAAACAACCCAGGTTTCTGGCTCCATCTTATGGCCGTTTGAGAAACCATACCTAATTACAGTTTTGCATTTTCTTAAAGATACAGTTTTAAAATGGTTATCCTGGTTTATATATTTCTAACTCAAATACCTGTTAGGTGACTTATATTCCTAACAAAATCCAATAGAAATAAATCCTGAGTGATACCTGGGATTGGAATATAATAATCTGTTTTGTTCAAAATAGAGTTTGGTGCTAATAATTTCAATTTAAATGTAAGTATTTGTTCATAAGTACAATAATTACATCTCTTCTGTTTTTTTGCTTGTTCAAATAAATTCTTTTTTAAAATACTTTTATTAAAGATAACAATTACAATAGAAAAGCTAACACAAACTAAAAGAAAAGCTAAAAAAAAAGAAAAAGTAAAAGGTGCAAAGAAAAAGAAAAAAGATACAAAGTTTAGTAAGTAAGAATATAGTAAAGAAAAATACAGTCACTTCCAACCTTCATCACAAGAAGTATAAACAACAACTTTTCACCTTCCTTTAAATTACAACAAATGATCTCTTCTTCCCATATCCATCTGTTATCCATAAACAAAACTTCATCATTACAATCCTGATAACTGCAAAAGCCATTAAGGATTGCCAGAAATAACAACAGTTCAGTTAACTTTGATCAAATAGAGCAACTTTATATTCCTTCCTTTTACTTCTAACAAATCTTAATTTTAGTCCATTCATATAATGTGGTAGATATATTTTCAATTATATTATTATTTATTTATTATATATTTTATTTTATTTATTTATCCCTTCTCACCTAGTTATTCAAAGTTTTAACAAATCCCATTGATAATTTATAAAAAATAATCCAGGTTATTATCTTGGTTTATTGTTTATATATATCCTTTTAAACTATTGAGACATATTTTTCTTTTCTACTATATGTCCACTGTAACATCATCTTTCATATAATTTTTGTAGCCTGTCATTTGTAAATCAACCTTTAACAGAAGCTGTCTTGTCAAGTAAAATTTCTCTAACAACTTTTAGACAGTGTATAGAGACATACATTGTTAAGATTAACTGTTGACTCTATTTTTCAAAAGTGTCTTTCAATATTTTCAGCGTTAGAATATTTTGCACCATTCTGTAACTGTTAATCAAGTTTATGTGTTATCCTTTAAAATAAATCTTTAGTTTCCTCTAGTGTCCAATTTTTAAAATCTTAATATGTTTTACAAATATTCAAAACAGTTCAATTTATAATTAATTCCAAAACCTCAGTTCAAATTTATCAGTTTCTTTATAGTTCTTTTCAGACTCTTTATCAGTTGAGCATTTCCTGAAGTCAAAGTTTTAATTAGCTTTTTGCTGTTTATTTCATTTTTTTAAACAAAACGTTCTTAAACTTTATTTCGTTAAGAATTGAAGGCAGACTCACCTGATGTTTTCAGATTTGTTACTCCAAAGGTTTCTAATAGCTGAAAAGTAGTTAATAAGTAATTTCCAAATGTGATTAGGAAATGAAATATGGGTACTTTATGTCCTTTGAAAGCCATTGACCGTGGTTTGAACAAGATGGCTGTTTGCTAGTCTAAACCTACAAGGGACAACTTTTCTGTGGTCTCCTGGTGAGGAGCAACTCTCTGAACCATTGGTGGGTGATGTTCTCTTCCTTCTTTGTCTACATGCCAGATCTTCAATCTTCATAGAACCATCTTCAGTCTGCTACTCTAAGAGGTCCTGTGTTTTAGAAAACTATCAGGAAAATATATTTTTATATTATACTAAAGCAGAGTTCCAGAAGGAAGCTTTGTTTGTCAAAAGTTTGTTTCCTACAATTCATAACAATCTACAAATTATCTGCATTGTGCTGGAATATATCACAGGGTTTTTTTAATCAGAATATATTAAAGGTTATATAACTTGGCAAATAACCATGACCAATCGTTATTGTCTTTTAAACACACTTGGTAATATGTAGAGTTCATAGTCTACATTTTTTAAAAAAGCCTTTACAACAAAGAAATTTGGAATGGGCAGGAAAATCAAAGGCATACAGTAATTGGAACTTTGTTATGACATCATCCTAATGAAACATAATTAGGGAATGTTATTCAGCTTCCAGAGGGGAAAAGGCAGGTAAAGATTTTCTGGTCTTTTGAACTGTCCTAGTTTGACATGAACTAAATTATCTTCATAGTGGCTCAGTGGCTAAGATGCTGAGCTTGTCAATCAGAAAGGTCAGCAGTTTGAATCCCTAGCACCGCATAATGGAGTGAGCTCCTGTTTCTTGTCCCAGCTTCTGCCAACCTAGCAGTTTGAAAGCATGTAAAAATGCAAGTAGAAAAATAGGCTCCACTTTGGTGGGAAGGTAACAGCGTTCCGTGTTCCTTCGGTGTTTAGTTATGCTGGCCATATGACCACGGATACATCTTCGGAGAATGCTGGCTGTTCGGCTTTGTAACAGAGATGAGCACCACCCCCTAAAGCCGGAAACGGCTAGCATGTATGTGCGAGGGGAACCTTTATCTTTACCTTAAATTGCCTTCAAAGTTTCTCTCTACCAGGCCTAGGGGAGAACTAGAAAGTAGATACCAGTATATGAGCAGAGATGTTTGCTTCCCTGTCCGATTAGATTTGTAAAGTACAGTATCATGTACTGGTATTTGTTGTGCATATATGACAGGGAGCGGATGGCTTTACCCACCTTGGGTGTAAGAGTTTTTAGCATATAAGCTACCAAAAGAGAGCTTCAACCTACTGTCTTTAAAAGGAGTATTGTATTAAACTGGAAACAGCTTCCCTGCTCATGCATTAAACGTTAATTATTTTATGTATGGGTGTTAACAAACCACTAGGTCTTTTTCTTTTCTATCTCTTTATCAAAAGATAATGTACAATGAGTAAAGACTGGAAGGTAACTATAGTCCTTGCTCAGTCCCAATTTAGATTGCAGATCAGGTTTGAACCATAGTTTATGTGAAGCAGTGTACTGAAATAATTGGATGATAATCATAATTTAGATTGGCAGCCTGTGAAAACATGCTTGGATTTTCATAATAGGGTAATGTATAAAGTAATAGTAAAGCTGAAAATAAGTATGATCTCCTTTCTGTAGACAGGTTTTGTTAATATGATAAGAAAAGCTATTCCTTCTTAGATTGGGAATTAATCTAATTATATCATCAGACATCGGTCAGGATTGTTTGTGAATTGACTCCAAACAAATATCAAAAGGAAAATATTTTCTCAGAATGACTGCAAAATTATGCATTGCAGTAGTAAGCGAAACAGCAGACTTTCTGTGAGGAAAAAACAACATTTTAAATTAATGAACAGGATGTTTTACAATCAAGTAATGTTAAGAATTATGTACTGGCAATATTTAATCTGGTAATGTGGAGAAATAAATGTATGAATTCTTGTTACTAAATGGAGGTTTACAAAATCCCATTTTCCTATAAATCTTTAAACTAATATCTTAAAGGATACAGAAGCTCCTTCCAATTTAACAAGTTACGTGGTAGCCTGCAGTGTGGGAAATACTACTATCCGTGATCTCAAGGAGTCTGTGAAAATTACAATCAAGCATACATTCAAACATGATAACATCCAGGTAAGAGTTCTTCAGCTTTTGTTTAAAATATAATTGATTAAGTTAGAGCAACAAAATATTCATTTGTACTGAACAGGAGGGCAAAACAAAATGGTTTTTAGTAACAGAAATACCTCTACATAATACACATGTATTGGCAACCTCTGAATTATTTTCTGTGGCCCGCAGTTGTTTCTTTCTCCAAATTCAACCCTGAAATCAGGAAGCTGGGGGACAAAAACTGAAGGTAAATGTTATTGTCCTTTGTGAATTGAAAACAATATAAGCAGCAAGTATATCCTTAAAGAAATGTGTTAGCATTCCTTTTTCTTCACTAATGAGAGAGGTTGCATGTAGGTTCCAGTTTCATGTACAGGAATCCATGACCCATTATTTCTATACTTTTTCACAATGTTAATGGGAGAAACTGGAGAAAGGGAAGAGCAGAGTAACAAATACAGCAGCTTTCACTGCTTTTCCTTGCTGTGAATCTACAAAACAAAATAGCACCTGTGGTGATTATAGCATTCCTTAATCCACATTATCCAGTTAACTCCTGCAAGCACTTTCTATTTTTTTCATTCAAATTAGCTCTTTGTTAGAGGACTAAGTTTAATAATTTCTAATCCCGCAGTTTTGAGACAGCCACAAAATTACAACATCTTAGAAAATGGATTTTCTTCAGGAGAGCATAACAGAGCTGAAGGGTTAAATTCCACAATGATTGCTTTTCTCCAGTAGTTATCCAACTGATTAAGCGTGCATGTTTAGAAGTTTGGATTTTTAATTGAAAATGGTAATTTAAGATTGTTTCTAATTTGTACTTTAGTTCTTTATGTGTTTACAAATTTAGAACAATAAATGGAAAGAAATGGAGATGGAGAATTAGTTTCCTTGCTTAATAAATAATGTTTTAGAAGATATTACTTTTTAATTCATGTACCTAATGGAAACACATTTTTTGTCGTGTTTGTTTAATTTTTAGAAGGCTCCTAATGCTACTTGTGTTTTTTGGGACATGAACAAGAACAGTAAGTTTATTTTTCCCCTTTTCTTTGATACGGAAAATATGGGGCATTTCTGAAAACTTTTTATTTACTTAGCAGTAAGACAATTCACATTCAAACCTACTAATCATTTATACAAGATGTAAAATCTAAAAGTTTAGTCTATCAGTGGCACTGAGCCTCCCTCTAGTGGTGAACCCTTTAATATAATCTAATTATGTAATATAATCCAACCATCCATTATAGATGAATAGTTTCCATGTATTTCTTTGGGATTTACTACTTCTGTAATCTTGTTACAATTCAGACCACACTCAGGAATCAGAAAATGGACTGGAGAATATTTACAACTAAGCAACTTCTCCTATCCAGACTGGAAAGTGATTATAACCAAGCAACTATGCCTATCCAGATACTTCATTTTCTAGATCAGTGATTCTCAACCTGTGGTCCACGGACCACTGGAGGGCCACATGTCATCACAAGGATTCCATGAAGGCTTGAAGAAATCTTGTGATTTAAATCTTGAGTTAAATCTTGGTGGTCTGTGGCTATGGTCTTTGGCCATAAAAGGTATTTAAAGGAGGTCCATAGTAAAGAAAGAAAAAAAAAGGTTGAGAACCACTGTTCTAGAGTAATGAAAAGATGTGTTGATGGAGGGTAGTTGTTGGAAGTCTTGAGATGCATCCAAGTCAGCATAGGTTAGATTTTACATTAGTCCCTAATAGTGGTAATAGAGACTTTTTTTAGGGCTTCAACCTCTATCAAATATCAGCTGGAGGATCTGTTTCAAATAATGCATTACGAAGGACAAAGAGATGGGGCATAGTTGTCCATAACCTTTATCTGGCTACAACTAAACTTCATCTTGATCTTCATCCATAACTTTTTTGGTCTGCCTTTGTGTAGCCCAACTAGAAGGATTGATAATATTAAAGTAAGATTTTGTTGAAAGTATTTAGTAATCATTTATAACAGTTGTGAACAGTTCTTAAATCCTTCCATTAAAACAGGTAGAAGCATATTGTCATCCATTGAGGTAAACTGCTCAATATTTTAAATTAGCTTGTTGCTCATCTTGTTATCACAGAGTTATAGGAACCTTTTCAATGACAATCAACAATGTCATAACAGGAAGTGCAACCAGGCAATTGAACAGTCTCATTTTTAATGTCCATGTCAAGTATCACATATAAAATTGGCAGTGCTTCAGTTGCTCTGTCACACTTGCCATTTTGATATAATTGACTGTACTGTAGATGCCCCTGCAGAATCAGTTTGTTAAAGCTACTGTATGTTTCATCATTCCATCATATTTGTTTGAATTGCCCAAACTGTGAAAAAGCAGGGGAGGAACCACTATAGGAGAAAGCAGGGTTTATTACCCTCAACAAAAATTTGAACATAGGATAGTTTTTCCCCCTGCCAAAATGAGAATGTCCATCTCTGTTCATGGTCTTCCCTTAAACAGGACTGATAAAATTGGGATTTGAGATACAGCCTTTTCTTTGGTACCATTTAAAGCAATACAGCATCTTACAAAAATTTACTGGCTACTTTTTAACTCTTTAAGTAATTGCTAATAAACTTTCCATTTCTGTGGAGTTTAATGTTTGATCTTTTTCATGTGTTGCCTGCCTCTTTAACTTTGTCCATTTTTGCTTTCATCGTGGTGTGTGTGTGTG